CTATTTACTACGTTTTCTCTGCCGAAGATTACTGGTTCACAGCATATCCTGAGTAACGGTGACTAATAGGATCCATCACTTATACAGTAGCAACGCTTGGGAGACTGCTGTTAAGTTTCATTTTGTGCTATGAGCAGTTTACTATCTTAGCCCAATGTATGATCGCTAGTTTACCATAAACCTTAACTATCAACTTAATAGCTGAACTTCAGACTAAAATAATCTTTATAGTAGCATCCAGTGACTGAACTCGACAACTCAGAATATGGAAAAAGGCGAAAAACCCTTAAATTTCACTGGGAAACGAATTCACGAAAGCATATAACCGGTCGATGCAGGAACTCATTATGACCTTGAATCTGAACATACCGTCTTTCCACCATACCTATCCTCAGTAACACAACCATCAAATATGACGCGCGATTTGGTTAAATTGCTTCAATGGAGATGCTTTGTATCACACTGTGTACATCGCTTCTGCCTGTGTAAAGTGGCGTTATACGTATTATTCCATTACCTTTTCCTATTTATATTTTGTGTAGGTGAATAATTGTAAATATGCTTACTCCTCGTATATGTTATTTATCATATTGATGGTGCTTGAAAGCTGGCGTCCCTCATGTACAGAAACTGAGACTATATCACCATCATTACTAAAGGGATCGGAGAGTTTATTGAATCAAGACACACGATGATTTTCAGTTATCTCGATGAAATTGTGCCAGTAAATTAGTTTGACCTAACTATGGGAACTCCTATGAGGAATCGGGAGGTTTTCGTGGGACATTTACGAGGGCGTTATGCTTTATAACTATCGTTTAGTACTGTGTTACTTTTATATAAAAGTTTTTTAATACGCACTTCCAAAACGGATGCATACGATTGGTCGACTAAGATCTGCCAAGGTCTTTATTAGGTAGCTTCGTTTTAGGCTGATAGAGTTTATAATCGCCCAGCAGACTTATGCCATATATATAATCAAAGTTTGTTTGTGTGCCATACTTTGAGGTCCGAAAGTGGTTGGACGCTGAGATTTGAGTCTTGTCCTTTGTAACATTTAGAGTGGTGGTGTTGTTACGCCAGTTAATAGCGTGGACTTTAGTGCGACTTTTCATGTCATGCGAGTATATGCTGGCATTATTGCTCTTGGAGTGTGTGGTCTCATTTCTACTATTCATGTGGTTGATAGTACAGTTTAGTGTCTTGTTTGACACCTGGCATAGATTCTTCCCATGAGGATTTTGAGAATGTGGTCAATTTCTTGTTACGAGTGGTGTATTTCGGCATGTTTATTTACCAAATCCCTCTTTAAATCTCACATTATTGCCATTAGACGATAATGTTTTATTTGTGGGTCGCTTGTTGTAAAAAGCAGAGGTGTGCTATCTGTTATCAAGTTAACAGGTGCCTAAGTTGGTGGCCTTTCATTTGAGTAACCATAACAAATTACTGAGAGTTAGTCGTTGCAGGTATGGAACCAGAGAAGCACTTGTGTGAGATTTATAAGAATGTTTGAACCAAGCGACAGCATGGTGCAAGCATAATTGTACTTTGGAGACAGTAGCACCTGCAGCTATAGTCGTCTGCAACAAGGCATCTGTTACCTTCTTCACAGACATAGGTGCTTCTATGGACTCGATATTCTGCCTTTCAGTATGCCCCCCGATGATTTCGCAAGGAAGTTCCGTGCACTGTTTGACAGCCAAGTATTCTAGAAAGATCTCCATGCACTGAAAGATATTCGAATTAGGAACTGTAGGAACCAAGTCAAACTTCCTGAAGTAATGAAGATTGCAATTTATTTGGCCGGTCTTTTGTCTACATTACTCAGTGCAGCATTTTAATATTTCACGAATGCCCATTCCCAGTATCAGTGGGCTCATCTGGTTTATACTACCCAAATTCGAGTTTGATTCTGAAGGACAGCTTATGTATTTCAATCCAAAATATGCTGTCTGTGTATAACAGATTATTCGCCGCGACCTTTTCTGGCGCCTGCTTTCCAAAGTGATGGCAACGGACAATACGAAGTCACACACATGTTTTACCAACCTTTAAAATACAATTGTAGTGTTATCCAATGCAAATTATTTCATGGCTTCCCACCAACAATTTCGGGTAAAGTAGATATTTTGAAAAGCTGCTCGCAGACACTGCGCACGATGTCATCTTATGGAATGCCTACAAGGACCAATAAGCTGAAACGGGGAAGAAAATCAAATAATTATGAAACGCGTTGAAATGCGTAAGACAGGCCTTTAAAATAAGCGTATTGCAAGGATAACAAACAGACACTTATTTACTTCCGCTCTTACGATTATTTCAATTTGTCACAGTCCATTCAAGCGACTGTTTCATAAACAGTTGGCGAACATCACATGCCTACAGGAAGTGTATCAGATTTACTGAAACATATGCTTTTGGTTTCACCGTGAGGTCTCCATATCAAGAGTATCACTATAGGGGTCAATAGGTCTTTTTCATAACTTCACTTACATAAGCCTGAACTGAAAAACTTCTATTCGTTCTTGCAGTACTAAATATGTAAAATATTGTGGAGTGATTTTTGTATGCTGTTCACTTTCTTATACTGAGTAGAGCAAGGTATTTTTACCTTTAGCTTCATATGAAGTTGCAGTGTAACTTAACAAGTAATAGTATTTATGGGAGCAAACTGAGAGATGAAATCATCCGTACCTTTTAAACAACTTGTGCTCAATCTGATTAAGATGATAACCGTCTTTCATATAGCAACCGATAGTTATATTCATAAAATCTGAATCTCAGAGAAGTTGAATATTTTCCCAAAATAACGGGCATCTGAAACAAAAGTTCATAATAACGCTAGACAGTGTTCATAGTGCTACTGCTCTGTATCTGAAAAGGAAAGGCAGACTGTATCGAATACACGAAAACGGTTATTAGTGCTGAAATTATACGTTGAATGATAACAATTACCACGCATTTTAAGACAATAGCTTTAGGCTAAACAGTACAAGCATACTAACATGACATTGTGAACACATGATAATGTACTTCTAACTACTGATTTTACTGCCTACTTCAATCCACTAAACTGCGGAAATATCAGTTTCAAACCACATTTTCTAATACAAGTGCAGCAAATGTAGCACACTTCAGTACATTGTGCCGCCGACATCAGGAAAGGTTTTTGGATGCAAAATTTCGTAATTAAAAACGCATACCGACGCAGCGGTGGACTACGACGCTACAAATAGTGTAGATGTGCTGTAAAGCCACTCGACCTTATTACGTGGCGAAGAGTGCTGAAATCTGTAGGCAGCGCGGGTAGCGTACCGCTAACCCACTGTGGTAGTACTGTTGTTGGCACACAATTCACTGCGTGCGAGACCCTGTCGAAATTCATCTTGTCAGAGTTTAATAACCCTCTTTATATATAACTCTCCTTTCGCATATCACCTGGTAGGGCCATAAGGAATTATGAAAGACTCTGTGCTCACATGGCAAAGTGCAGCAACTCAACGACAGCTTAGTTGACATGCATTTTATGTATTGAGAAACGTTTTGGGCATGAAAACGCTAGTTTACTGCGAAATAGTCAGTAGACGATGTTTTTGTTGATTATTCTTCTTAATGTGTAGTGCAACGAGAAGACTAGATGAAGTAAATATTGCATGCCGAGGATTCCACAATGTATCAGACACACTTTGCAGATATTATTATTGCTACTAAAAATAAAGATATGCCGTATAAATAGACCCTTACGGTATTAATTGCATATATATATCATAGGAGCTGGTTGTTAATCCGCTTCTATTCCTGCTTTCACTAGAAGCTTATCATAGAATGTCTCTTTCGGCATCTTACTTTACGTGGAAAATATCAGAATAAGAGGGTAATAAGGATTTGTCTGAACCTCGAAGATCCCAAAAATTAATCCTTACCATCAGAAAACTTCACAAGTTTCAGTTTCATAAATTACAAAGCCCTTTATCTTTCGATGTGTGTGGTTCTAGTGACCTGGTACAATTAAAGTTTACGGACCATTACAAATTATATGCAGAATACGATCTAGGTTTCAAATTCGACAGCAAAACAGATGACTGTTAAGAGGAAATAGATTAGAGATGTCCTTATGGTGCAAAGTATATATGAGGTCTCATCTCAGATTTTAGAGTTCTGACAAAAGAAGTCAATTTTCGGGACTATGTACGGTGGGCAACCAACAAATAAAAAAGTAGTGCGGTGAATGGCTTGGAAATTGGAACTTCGCCCCTCCAACACTACAAGCTGGAGAGCGACTTTTCAGTTAGCAAAATAATCAGTAGTCGTAGTCACAAAAATTGGGACATGTTATGTTTGTCGACTATGGAGTAGGACCACTTTCCCTCACCGTCTGAGTATCCACCTCGTGAAATACTAATGGTATATTATATTGCATCATTTCCATAGGGAAATTTGAAAGGGTACTAGATATTTACACTCAGGGAACAGTTGCACTTACTTAATTCGCGTGCCTCATGTTTTTCTTCACCTTCATCATATAGTATATATTAGGTCATCTTATTTATTTTAGATCAATTTTGGTGACCATCCGATGAAACGAAAAATGCCACTACTCTCTTAAGAAATAACACCACTGTTGACAAGTGGGGGTCTGCTTAACATCTAGAAAAAGGCATAACAGAACAAAGTATACGATTACAGTAAGTTATATTTATGTCGGGTTATGAGAGTTCAAAAAATAATTATCTTTCCAAACTCATAATATAAAACTGCATTTGAGCCAACAGAAAATTTATTTTGTCCAGTTTGCAGTACATATCCCTTTCTACTCACAGGAAATTTATTTCAGCCTTTTAACATTTCAGCAGTTTCCAACTAACCTAACATATTCCCGGAACCAATAACTTCCAACATCCAACGAAGATATTGAAAAAAATAACTTGAACAACAGACCATGTGAAAAGAACAGACTGTCTTTCACAATATACAAGCAGTAATGAGCAAAACCAAACCATAAAAAGAGGATGAGATATATAGGAAACGTTTTGGTGCGACATTTGTTTATGTCATTCACTTGTAATATCATGAACTTTTTGTCCTTGTTGGTGAGGATTATTCAACTTCCTTGCCTCGCACATGTCTTTCAACACGAAGGCTAGTGATTGTATTGTGGTAGGTGTTTTCCTGAATTCTTATTACTTTTAGTTGGACGATGACTACAGAGGTTTTCCTGTTGACTATTTTTGTACTTCGCCTCGATATGATGGATGCTTAGACTACGTTTTAATACCTAACGGTATGATAAAAGACAGGTAACCTATGCCTTCAATTTGAATGCTTTGAAGGTTGGAAAAAATGTCAATGGACATTGTTAAAGCATATGAGGCTTCCAAGGCGAAATCCATCACATTAATGTGTGTCCTGAAAGGTGGATTCAAGTTTCTAGGTGATCTCGTTGAGGTGTTGGAACGTACTATTCGCGCAAGAGGAACCCTTCTACCCATGTCAGTTGAATTCGTTCGTGTTAAGAGTTATGTTGTAAGTCTAATAATTCAACATTTGAAATTATCTACTAGAATGATGTTAGTACACATGAGCCTATATTAACAGGAATGGAAGATCCTTCGGAATATAAGGATAAAGTATTTCACCGCTTCATTCATATTATTTTTTAGGACATTCTCATTGTCGAAGATATTATTGACACGGGGAGGACTATTAAGAAGCTCTTGAACTACATGGGGACTTTGTCAACAAGAAGCGTTAAGGTCGCCAGGTCTGTCAGCATTTGCTATGTATAGTTATTAGTGGGGTATGCTTGCACATTTTTTTGCTGTTTTCAAAAGTGTATGGGAGTAACTTTTTCATTTATATATGTATATGTGTATACATATGATATGGTATTTATCCCCTTTTCGGTAAGACAGTGTCTTACGTCTCATAAAACTTGAATAGTAATGAGTTTGGAAACATTTAGACGTGACACTGTCAGTGTTCTGCAAATAAGTCGATGAGATATAGAATGTGGTCTGGTAAGTTGGACTGCTGCATTCCTACAAAGTTCTATGCTGAACCTCAGTCAGTTAGCCAGTAGAATAGATATCGCATGCAGACGATGCGTTTTCTATCGACATGATCAGTATTTAGTAATTCACGATTTTTTATCTGGTGTTCGATTATTGACATTATCCATTGTGTGTGTCTTCGGTAATAATTAGAAACTATCAGCTATTTTGTTCACATTACTTATATTCATCTGGTTCCGAATGTTCTGTTAAGTAGGTACGCAACCCGGTTGTATGCTTTTTGTAAAAAAGGAGACAGTTTGCGCTACTTCATTGCCAAAACTCGAATTTAGCGTGCAATCAGAAATCCACCAGCTCAAATGTTAGACTGCTATCATTTGTAGCTGCAGGAGTATATCTATGTCCAGTTCTTGTCGAAGTTTTGTTCAGACTGCTTGTTTTTTCCGTGAGTGCAATTTTAAGCATGTTGGGACATTATTTGCACGCAGTATCCTACTGATGATTTCGATTTTTACACATACTAGACCTTACCCTAGGTAAACTTCACTTCCTAAACTTTGGTTTGAAAAAAACAGCCCACAAGTGTGACTCAAAAACTCAGTAAATTAAACAAAATCTTCTGAACTGTTCACTTCGCCATACAAAGAAATTCCAGGAGGACGTTATGAAAACTATCTGAGAAAAGATTCTAGAAATTCGGTGGTTCCAACTGAAACCATAGTATGTCTATGTGACAGACTAGCTAACTTTTAAATCAGAAAGTCATTACCAATCGGCTGACCTGTAATCACATTGATGGTGGTTATTTGGATACAGTAGTTAGCTCATTTAATCTCAAATGGACCAAAATATGAGTATGGTAGGAAGACTGCAACACAATCATCAGTCATTATATGAAAGAATTTATTGTGATAAATTTTCAGGGATATGCAAAATTGAAAGGTGACAGTGGTTGGTAAACGAAAGGCAGTAAAGTTAGCAGCATTCACCAGAAGTCCTTTACTTAATCATGATAAGCACTCCTTTATATTCTGATCCATATTCGACTTATAACATGATACCAACTTGATGAAACTTGTTATTGTATGGCATGTTATCATATCTCAAAGGTAGAGAAATAGAATAAAGGTGTGACAATACACTGAAATCGAAAGACGGTATTAAAGTCCATGTCCTCTACGCACTCATTCACAGAGGCTTTTCAGTTAAGTTTGTGATTGGTGATATGTAATTCCTCAGTTCTCGTGAACTTCAAATAAATAACAAAAGTGTAAACAACCTAATAGCTTGGAGATGTACCTGTCCATTTAAGTTGCTGCATCAAAAAGTGACAACATGCCTGCGATTTTAACTCAACTAAAAAAGTAAAGGAGATAAATAAAGTCTTCAGTAGCCTAATGTTCAACTCTATATACTTGTTATAGTACCTAAATTTCCATATTTGCATTTGGTATAAAACTGAAATAAATGACTCACGTTTGTTTGATTTTACTCCTTAACCATCGTGATTGCAATGTAATCAGCTTCAACATAAACAATTTATTTCATGATTTATTGCATCATTTATCTTTCTAGTCTACTCGTTAAACGTACACAAGATGGTGTTAATTACCGACCGGAATGTAAGTGAGCAGTTTTAACTTCGGAAATCTCCCTCTGCTTTTCTTATTAACAGATTTATTTGTTTTTACTGTTTAACATAGTTTTATATTGGTAATTATTTGAAACGTTTGTTGGCGTTATAGATTTTAATCAAGCGTAGCAGAAGTAGATTTGGTTTTCCCTCTGGAGGGATACATGCACATAGATTGGTTGTTTAGTGTTACATTCACTGACTGCATTGTTTCACTGAGTTTTCCGAATACAATCAGTAAATAGTACTTGCAAACTTGTTGAATTTAGCATATCGTTGTTTAAAATATAAACAAAAATTCGAAGGTTGAGTATTGTACGACAGAAACCCAGAAGTTTATGGGAGTTAAAACGAATATTTCTTGACATCCTGCTCAAAACTTCGGCTATGTTGGTGATTCACCTTTCTTAAAAAGTGCATTGATTTTACTCGCCACATTTCAAAATATCTCAGAAAAGAAAAAAATCAGGACTAAATTGGTATCACAATATACATAAATAAATGTGTGGGAAGAACAAAAGAATTGAAACCAGTAGCTGCATAAACGTTTATGGAGAATCTTTTATCGAAGTGACGACTGCTGGTGTTTACCAGAAAAACCTGGTCATTATTCTGATTTAAGTTTATTTAGTTTGCTGGTTAGGTTTTCTAATTGACAGATGTCTAATAGATTTGTGATTTATACAAACAACATGTTCCTGTTAAGTGGACGTAGTGATAACGTGTAAAATTTCTCGAATGACTTAAGCGAAAATCTTGTGTGGCATTCATTTCACGCATACCAAATGCTGACTGGTTTGATTCTTGGTTTATGTATGGTGAGTGAAGCGATCGAATATATTAGCTACTTCACTTATTTTAGAATACGCATCACCCTAATTAGGTGTTTTAGACAGGTTCACTACTTAAACTATTTGTTTGTCTAGTTCTGGTTATAGGCTTAGATGTCTACCAAAGAGAAAATGACGTGTAGTGTAACAGTGCTTTCTGTCCTACTTTGCAGCTGTCAAGCGTAATCAGTAAAACCGAAGATATGAAGGGTTACAGGCTTTTGGTTATGTTGGATTTCAGTGCTGAATTGTTGGTATAATGAAGATTCACTTGGTAAGATTGTGAATATTAGAGTGGAGTGGTTGTAACACGTTTTACATATGCTAAATCAGAGCTTCCTCAGGAAAGCAATGTTAGGTGAATTAGAATATTAGAAAAATATGAGGTGGCCAAATTAAGAAGTGAAATCAGTCCTCGAAATGTTCAAGTGTCGGTCTAAATTATGTCGAGCAATTACGGGGAGCCACTATATATCAAGAAGCAGTGTCTAAAGAGTCCTGATAAATAGGTTACAAAGGAGTAGATTTTTCACTAACCCCTCCCCCAACAGATGTTTCACTCTTACGCTTGCTCATTGTAGTATCACTCAATTTCAGTCCACATTAATGTATGCGTTCACCACCTCCCCGTAGGATATCTTTTAGTTTACCTTTCCACCAAGCGTTATTATCACTTGGGATTTATAAACGTTTGATGTTAACCACTAATGCTTAATCATATATTTGTACAGTCACAAATATTTCGGTTAATATAAATTTTGTGCTTTTTGGTATATATATATATATATCTTCACTGTCGTATCAGTTATATCCTTACCATGCCTTTGTAACCGCTCATTCTTTCCAGCAATGAAATCCTAAGGCTTTTTATTTGAAGTGAAGAGAGGTTTTAGTTCATCAGAGATCCACAAAAAAATCCGTTCGTTGCAGGATGCTGGTATGGTCTCGTTAGCATGGGTTTGGTAGGGATTACTTTTTATATCTTTGCAAGGCAAATCTTCACAAGCCACTGATTTCGGGCACTTAGCTATATTTTGTGACATATGTGTCTATTTCAGTTGTTTTTTCATAATGCTTTTGTGCTGTTTTTAGTTATTGTATACAAACATGAACTTCAAAGCTAGTCTGAATAATAATTTACAGCTGTGGTTGACTGTTTCAAATAAATGGTCATAAGTTTGGGTCTATCAACACTTGGGAAAGAAGATACTGCAATCAGCTCTCAAACACTAGGTGTAACCATTTATAGAGCGTATTAGGATGCGTCGGTGGCACAGAAGTTAGGACCTTCGCTGACCATGCACATGGTCCGGGGTTGGATCTCCGGTCGATGCACACCTGATATCAATAGTCAGCCTGCTAAATTTGGACTACCGGTATCAGATCCTGAAAATTCCATAGCTGTATCAAAATACTGTGTGGAATCAAGCTATAATAATAATAATATATAGTAGTAGAGTAACGTATTTCTGTTCCTCATGTGTTATAATGGACTTTTAATCGCCTATTGTATACTATTCTTTTTACTTAACGTTTAGTTGCAGGATTCGAAGTCCCTGACAGATTCGTTGTTGGTTATGCTCTAGACTATAATGAACATTTCCGCGACTTACATGTAAGTTTTTCAAATATAACAGCATTATACTTTTTTCGTTCAAAAATATATGCATTCGTAATTTGTGCGAAAACCATCGTGTTATCCATCTTTTTCATTCGAATTGGTGAAAGTGATGATAGCTATTTTTGATTGCCTTAGGTTTATGGAAGTATTTTAAGTGTCCTCTTGTTTGTATGAGAAAAAAAATCAACTTTCACTAGTTTATAATAATTACCAGTGTGTTTTTATAATTCTGTTATAAGCACTACTGTCTGTGAGTCGAAGCAACTCTAGAATTGCAATTATCAGGTTAACTTGATGTGTCTGTTGATTTATTCATGCTCATGCATTCATGCACATATGTGCGGCAGTTCAAGTCGCCACACTCCATGTAGCATACAAAGCAAAAGAAGAAAGTAGGAGAAATGCATAATAATATAGACAGTAAACAGAGGTGTGAGACAAAGGAATAGTAATAACGAAGAACAAAACAGTTTCATTGGAAATCATAAGTCACAAGGAGTGGATGCATCTGCGCCATTGAGAACGATTTTGAGCCATGTCACCAATTGTGTACAACCATTGGTTTTTACCGTCCCGAGGACCGCAACCAGGAAGTCTACACCTTCCTACGTGGCCTAGACTAACTGTTGTAGATTTCATTGACTGGTGCCATGTTTTGGTTTGACCGCCGCTAGCTCTTTTCCAGCCTGACCCTATATCAGCTAATATTGCCTGTTGTCGAGGAAGGCGATGACTAGGCACACGTAACACATGTCCTAACCACCTCAGTCGATGTAATTTCACAACCTTGTCGAATTCCTTCCCCGCATTACCTAGCACTCGACGCCTAACCTCAATATTGCTCACCTTATTATACCACTTCACGCTGATGAGTGCCAACTAGCACGAAACCTAGGTCCAAGGCTTCCTACCGATTGCCTCCAACCATCTACTATCATCAAAGCATTATCTTTTCTTATAATATAATTACCCTTAGGTTTATTCATCACTAGTGCATATCTTATGTGTATGCAACAGTTACGTGTGCATTTCGAGAATGTCTGTTAGGATCGAACAGAGAGATGTACTGTTTACTTGTTACACGTGCTCTGAATTTACATAGTCTCTAGCTTACCAATAGTCATAAAAGCTTTTGCTTTTTTTAGTAAACATGTTTTATTCATTTCTCTCTCTCCTCTGTGTGTGATGTGCATCTACTTTTTCTTTGTTGCCTGGTTTATCTTTTTAGCATATTTGTGTAATCAATGAAACAGGGCAACAAAAATTCTCTGTACCTTTTGAGTCTAAACCTCTTTGAAACAAAAAAACAAGGATAGATGGAGTTGATTTTATTTTTATGTGTCAGACAAAGAACAACGAGATTCACTTTAAAGAAGATAGACGTGTTGGTCTCTTTTTCTCTTTTTTGCTTGTACCTTTATTCACAAATTTTTTTCTTTTTGCTGGGATCTATTTTCATCATTCAAAAGACGTATGTCTATATATATATTTGAAGTACTAGTAAGGCAGGCTTTAGGTATACGTCAAACATTTTGTTTGTATTAAAGTAATGCATATACATATATACCATTTACTTCAAGTCTGTATTTATCAATAAATGATAATAACAATACAAGTTTCATCACAAAACTTATTTTTCCCCTCTCAGATTGTATTTCATTCAAATATACTGTATTATATTATTATTATTTTTCATTATGTCAACTTCGATACATGTGAACTCTTTCCCTTCATTATCATTATAATTATCATCATTATGATTACATTTCACACACACACACACACAAATCTCTCTCTGGCTCTCTCTTGCATCTTGTCGCCTTATTTCATTTGTATTTTTATCGACAGTAGAACTGTCTCTCTCAACGCTATCGTTATCAATGATAGTTTTATGTGAATAATTTTGTATTATTATGTAGTTGAGTTAGCCAATATATACATATATATATATGAGAAGATAATTTGAATATTATTATTATTATAACTACTAAAATTGTTAGATATTTTTTAGTAAAATTCAAATAAACTGAAAGTGAATCTATGGCATGTTCTCTGTCCTGATTTTTTATACCATATGTTAAAATATGACGAATTGATTTAGGTGACATTGATTCAAACATTGTTGTACGGTTATATATATAATCTTCACGATATGTTGCTGGCGCATAAGAGTATAATAACAGTAAGGTGTTTCCTTGGTGCAGGTAGCCATGATATCTTATCACCCCGCGAATTTATAATTCTTAAAACACATCATGGGCACCAGTAGGTGCACCACACAAAATATAATAGTTTGTACGACGGCTGGGATACTGCCCGGATGCCGAGACCGATGCAGGTGGTTGTCTTAAGGGGACTCCTACCCTTTGAACGGATGTTTAATCCATAAGTCAGTGAAGGGGCGTCAGGAGTTGACGGTGACCAACACAGGCTCATACACCATTCTACCCTTTCAGATTCTGGAGTCCATGTACACCATAGGTTCGGAATCAGGTTCCTCCAGCTCTCCTCGGTGGATCTGCATGTCCACTGGTCCGGTTGTAAGCGCCATACGTTCGAATTCACCGTTTCACTTTTGTGAGAAAAACTCCCGCTGTGGTGTGAAGGTACTGAATAAGACTTACCTGGAGGAGGCTAAGAACACGTGGCCACAGGGAGCATTTTGAGAGGAAGACCTAAGTCAACCCAGTCTTGGCCGTACCAAGTCGTTTATGGGGCCGCGCTTTGCGAAGGGAGGAATAGAAAAGGTTTACCACACAAATTGTAGGTCATTCTTACAGATAAGACTCCACCCTCAGTCTTTATGTTTTCATCCCTCTAGTAAAATTGTTCCCCAAACACTTGCTTCACCTTCTCCTTAACCCGTGTCTATTGTCAATGAAAAGAATGTCAGTCGTAGTCTACTCTGTTTCATATTGGAGCTTTTGATGTCTGGAATTTCTGCTAAACTGAACCTCGGGTATCACCAACTAAAACTCTGTATGTAATATGTGTCTCTGAGACATGCATACAAGACTCAAGTATAGTTATTGACTAAACTCCATCTGATCAACTTGGTCAATCAAAAAGTCCAACCTACGGGTTTCAGACTCTTTATCTACTTCTCGTAGAAAACTCTCTGATAGACTGAATTCCCACGAACAGTCGCTTTTGTGCTTCCCGGTCAAGTGGATCTGTAAAAATATGCAAACATTGTGACACTCATGTATACCTTCATAATCTCTGCTTATGCACAGAGATCGATTGCAGTTCCGTTGAGGTAAAGACTTATTTTATATCAAAAGCTCCTTAGTCTGCTGCTAAATGCAAAACACACATTTAGACATCTTAGCAGATTATTTTAATGCCTAATTAATTTGGAAAGTGTGGGAATATCCTATGCTTACCAACCAATGACGGTGACAATCCTGTAAGAATTCTGTTCAGAAAACAATGTCATTCTGATTAGCATTAATTGTAAACATGGTGGGACACATTATCGGGCCTGGATGAAGGATTGAACTATGTGCCTCAGAAGGAGATAACTTAGATAAGTATTAAGTGTGAAAACAGTACTCATCCTAAGGAAGTTTGGTCCCTTATGCAGTCTGTTGTGAAGACAGCTATCTTGCAGATAAAGACAAGTAAAATCCAGTCTCATCTTAAGTGATCTTGGCAGAATGAGAACACAATAAGTAGCCAAAGGTTCTTAAAAGTAGACTGCATAAGCGTCCTCGCAATGACGATGAAAGGTGATGGGTAATATAAGCTAAAGAAAACAAACGTCGTCTTCGGCTCATTAGGGAAACGGATACTAAAAACCTGTGGTAAGCTAAGTAGCTTACGAAAAGTATGAGACTTTACTTACTCAGCAGAGACGACTGGGATGTTGGTCAGAACATCTTAAGAAACATTTTAACTGGTCTACGGCTCCACTACAATCAACCACCGTCCGAACCTTCCTGAAAGGAATTGCAGGCATCGATCTTTTAACTGTAGCCGGGGAAAAGCAGAAGAGCTCCGTGGTTTGATTTCCCGGGGCGTTTAAAGATGATGGTGGTGAATTATTTTGCTAGAATAATCACGATAATGGATAGCATGTAAGAATGCGAGATAATCCCATAAGACTGATAAATGTTGTTGGTTACTGCAGTTTATATGAAAGAAAATAGGTCTTCCTATGATAATCATGAGAATCAGCTGGATAAACATAATTCCGAAAATGCTACGTCTCATGGTTCTGTGAAGACAAAGTGGTATTCAGGGATGATGGACCTGAAGAAAGCAAGCAGGCTTTACATTTTGATGAGTCCAGTGATCGGTTCTTCACTCTGAAAGATTCTGGCACATTTATTGGCCTCCAGCACTTGTCATTTATTTGGACTGAAGGCAGCATCTGAATCTGTCCATCTACAGTTAGAGTGGTAATGCCTGGCTGCGAAGGAGCTTTCATGAATTTTTGTTTCACTAATCAGCTCACTATGCGCTTAGCCGTGTATGAGCCTGTGGAGAGTTCTTTTCGGTAGAAATACAATCTTTCGAGTACCCTAAATTAAAATGCGGGATTTTGATATAGGATTTTCTCCTGTCAAACGTAGGATGATACTGCAGAACTGGTCAACGTCGACTCCTAGTTTTGCGATAGATAGTGGGATGGAGGAATGTACTGAGTACCCCAGTTACTTGGTAAGTTGCATTTTGCCCTAAGAGTCTGGTTCCTAACGTAATTCCATCACAGAGTTCAGGGTGACCAAGAATGCTCTGACCCCGGGTGGAAGCTCACCTTTGCACCTCAGTGGGTTGAAACTCGCAACGGACCCTAATCAGGTGCGCTCGGTCGTGTATTTTTTGTCAGTGACTGTCCTCCGTTCATTGCGTCGATGGCACAGTGGTTAGGAAGCTCGTCGACCATGCACATGATCTAGGGTTCGATCCCCGGCCGACGCACACCTGCTATCAGTGGTCAGCCTGCTGAACTCGGGCTACAGATATCACATGCTGAAAATTCCGTAGTTGTACCGAAAATACTGTGTTATGAATCGCCATCGGCCGGAATGGCTAAAATGTGTATTACACACATCTAGCTGCCACCTTTTGTGATGAGCCCAAGTTGGATAAGATTAGAAAGGAGTTAAGATTGGTCAGGTGATAACAGCATTGTTAGCCGCCAGGGTGAAGCATACATATGGGTGTAGACTGCCTAGTTAGGGCCATCGAGAGGAGAAGAATTGATATGAAGTGACCATCAGTAACATGGTTCATAAATGTTCACAATGGGGCAGAAGTATTCACCACTTTTAATCTTTCAGATTCTGAAAATCTTCAGTAATCCTTATCTAATTATTCTCTCTTTTCCAAGTGTTGGTTTGTAGGGATTTAATTGGTTACAGGATTTCATCATGAGCTGACATTAGTTAGAGAACCACTGGAAAACCTGGGAGTACTGGACAGCTGTTGAGTCCTAGTTTGGGACTCTTCAGCAGTACGCACCCACCGGGATTCGAACCCGTGACCTTCTGGTTACAAGGCGAGCTCGTATACCATTAAGCCACCAGGACCAGATCCAATGGCCCACGAATTCTAACTTCTGCCAATTCACGACATAGCGCGACCCCTAGCCAATGTCTTCGGCGAGTATTTGTCCTCACGCCCGACCTGCTGCACCCTACTGGTCACGAAGTCGTGAGAAGTCGTGCTCACAGTATACATTTAAGTAGCTTATACACAGACGGTTTAAGTTTAGATAAAAGGAAACCAGAAGAATAAATGTTTGGATGCAGTAGAGAAGTTGCATAATAAAGGCAAGATATAGGTAAGCAGGTGGTAAATAACTAATAAGTTGTGTAACAGTGTGTATTTTTTTATCATAGCTTGATTTCATTCAGTATTTTGGTACAACTATGGAATTTTCAGCATGTGATATCTGTAGCCCGAGTTCAGTAGGCCGACCATTGATAGCATGTGTGCGTCGGCCGGGGATCGAATCCTAAATCATGTGCATGGTCGGTGAGCGTCCTCACCGCTGTGCCACCGACGCATACGGTGAGTTCAACTGAAATCATAGAAACAGAAGACAAATAAAATCACATTGTAGCTAAACAGGAAGAGATGAAGGCCAGAGGACACGTAGTCAAATAAAAAGAAGAGAGAAGAAAATTCAGTTGCCAGGGTGAGGAAAGACTGATAACTACTCCTTTTTGGACACATAAGTCAGATTTTAGGTGTTTGATAGCAGTGGTCTCGTCAAACTTGGGAAGAATTGAACTGTATTGTCTATTGATAATTTTATAGGATTTCAGGTTGCCCATATTTGACTGGTATTGACAAGATGTCTGGAAATGACACTATTGAAACCGTTTGTTCCCCTGAGACATAGGCTTTTTCGTACGTGTTCAGAAAATCGAAGATATGCCCTTCTTTCTGTTCTCCCGAAATAACCGCTGCCGCAGATACATGTAAGTTTGTATATACAGTTAAATCTTCAACTGAACCAAAAACCCGATCGGGTAAACAGGAATCAACTTAGCTGTTGATTGCTTCCAACCATCTAACATCACTGTGTTCTTTCTGTGTAGATATTCCTATCTTTTTGTGTAACTTTAACCTTTTCATATGTGGGAGAATTACTATTTTCTGAAAGAAATGATAAACAGAATTTCAAGGAAGAATAAAGTTAAGGTGGAGATTTCTCATTTGCATAAACAATTCAGGTCAAACTAATTTTCACAGCATATAAGAAATATGGAAATATCTCTTGAAATTTGTGGATAAAATATAGTTAACACCTTTTTCAGCCTATTTTAGTATTTGAATTAAAAACTATTTTAGAAGAATTCGTTTAGGTACATTTCACAGATTTAACCAAACAGCTAAAAATTTAAAAAAAACAAAACAAATTTCATGTCACTATCTATTCTTTTGGCTTTTCGATTAGTGCGCTATATGACATCATACGACAGGCTATCAAGTGGAACTCGA